GTAAATTAATCATCACAGATGTCGTGCCTCCTTCCACAAAGGATCTGAGTGGAATACAAAGTCTATCCTTTTATTTTTATCAGTACCATTCTTCTTTTGGGTTTTCGTCCAGTTTTCCCTCTTGCCATATCATTTTTGCTTTTCTATTTTCCTTCCTTCCTCACTTTTCACTCTTTAACTTTCACTTCTGGCTTCTTTTTCTCCTCCTCTTATGTCCAATAGAAATTATTCTCTCTATTCATCATAGCCTAGAGCTAGTTGTCCTCAGTCTGGCACAGCCTCATATCTTTGAGGGATCAGCGTACCCCTGGTCAGGTTGACAGGTAAGGGCGTACAGGCTACTTATTACAAACACATGCTCTGCAAACCGTCACCACCACCACTTCAAGTCAGACAACGGTTAGGGATCAACTTTGGTTCCCTGGATGGGAAAGAAGATTTAGTTAGCCTCTGCAGGGGTTTTATCACGTCTTCTTTCTACTACCTAACTAATAGGAGAGGTACTCTTTTCTTTCTTTCTTTCTTTCCTTCCTTCCTTCCTTCCTCCTTCCTTCCTTCCTTTCTTTCTTTCTTTTTTAGAGACAGGGTCTTACTGTGTTGTCCAGGCTGGACTTAAAGTCCTGGGCTCAAGTGATCCTCCGACTTAACCTCCCGAGTAGGTGGGAATACAGGCATGGGCCACTATGCCCTAAGATACCATTCTGTCTGGTACTTAGGTAAAGGGGAGAGTCCATAAGCCCCCAGATTGTATGAAAAATTGGGTGTTCTTTGTGTTTATGTGTATTTTTGAGCCCATGGCTACTATCAAATTATCAAAGTGCCTTTTGAACCATAAACAGTTAAAATACATTGCTCAAGAAGTGAGGGAAAAGTTTGAGATCCAGCAACTGAGATCCACAGGTACCTTTGCTTCTAGGAAAGCAGTGACAGGACTTTTGCTTGTAGAATAAAGCAGCAAACCCTGATTTCGTGGAATTGAGGAGAAATGCAGGGTTTCATTGTTGCCAGGAAACACCCACACTTCCAGCTCTCAGTTCTGTCTGCAGGTGATGTTTCTATTTCACATAAATGTTGATGTCGACATTTAAAGAAAAACTATAAATTTAAATGAAATCTCTGTAATTTCCCTAAATTACTTCCATAAACAGCGTCTGAAAGCATACTGCTCAATGTGAGAACACTGAAGGAATTTTTCACCCTGATACCAAGTATATGGTGTCTTTTCTACACCAGTTCTCCAACAGTAACCGGACATCCTACAATTCAGTTCAATTCTGACACTGACCACCTGGAATTAGCACCGGATTCGACAGGTTTAAGGGCTCAGTCCCACAACACTGCCTTCCCTTCAGAAGCCAGGAGCAAGTATCATGTCTCCCTCTTACCCACATTTTTATGTCTAACTTGGCTACAAGCTTAGGGGTTCCCACAATCCCACGCCTCAGATTTGGTAATTTGCTAAAACGACTAACAGAACTAAGGAAAAATGTTATACTTACTATTAAAGCTTATCATAAAAGATGTAAATGAACAGCCAGACGCAGAAGCACACACCGTCTCAAGTACTCTGTCCCTGTGGAATTGGGGTGTGCCACCCTCCTTACACATGGATGTGTTCATCAACTTGGAAGCTCCCTGACCCCCATCATTTAGGAGTTTTATGGAGGTTTCGTTATATGAGCATGATTGATTGAGTCATGGGCCACTGTGATTGAACTCAATCTCCAGCCCCTCCCCTGAGGTTGAGGAATGGGGTTGAAAGTTCCAAGCTTCTAATCAAGCCTTGGTCTTAGGGCCGGGCACAACGCCTCACACCTGTAATCTCAGCACTTTGGGAGGCTGAGGTGGGAGGATCACTGTCAACATAATGAGACCTCATCTTTATAAAAAATCAAAAAATTAGCAGGGCATGGTGTTGTGCGCCTGTAGTCTTTCTCGGCTACTCAGGAGGCTGAGGCAGGAGGATGGCTTGAGCCCAGGAATTCAAGGCTGCAATGAACTATGATCACACCACTGCACTTCTGCCTGGGCAACAGAGTGAGACTCTGTCTCATAAAAATTAATTAATTAACCTTAAAAAAAAAGACTTGATCTTTCTGGTGACCAGCACCCACCCAGAAGCTAGGCGCCTGTCCAGGGTATCCTCATTAGCACGAACTCAAGTATGGTTGAAAGGGGCTTGCTCTTCATAATAACGAGAGACATGCTCCTACCACTCGGGAAATTCCAAGGTTTTAGGAACTCTGTGCCAGGAACCAAGACCAAACATATCTATATACAAATATATTGTTAATATATAATTGTATTATTTATTATTATTACTATATTATTACACCACACACAAAAAAAGGAACTAACGATCTAAGAGTAAACATCTGACTTAGCTGGCTAACATAAGTCAACTGAGTCACTGGTCCAGTGTTTACTAGCCCTTCATGCTCCTTGATGGCAAGGCCTAGTTCATCTGATTCATTATTTTATCACTAGCCCCTAGTAAGGTGTTAGGTGTTCAATACATTTAGTTTTTTTCATTTAGAGAATTAGGCCCGGGTCACAAGCAAAACTAAAAAGCAACCACAGTTCTACTCAGATATATGGTATTCTCTGTGTCAGTCTGCAGATTTAAAGCCTGAAATACACAAAGGCATGGTTCCAACCTCTAGGCCTCAGTTTCCTTTTGTGTCATGAGAATAGGTCAGACTGAACACTCCCCTGTCCCTTTACAGTTCTGGAAGCTGCAATGACCTAGTGAGCCGTAGCTTCCTGACTCACACTATGCCGCCAGCTCCAGGGAAAGGGATGAAGTGGAGGTTTTGTGCTTCCACTTAAAAATGAAATGCTGATTTTCCCATGGGATAGGTTTAAAATTTTACTTTTTGTCTCGAACCTCTTTCTCTGTTTACATGTTCTTTGTAATGTCACACTGTATTCCAATACTCCATGATGCCAGCAGCTAAGCATCTAAACAGGATTTCTTTCAATATTCTAGATGCCAGTTAGGACATAACACCCGTGATTCTCAACCACATACGCACACTCATCAATAACCTTATTCAGCTTCGAGGAGGCGAGGGCACACTTGTAGCAAATTCGCCAGTGATTTTGTCACCCAGAATTTCTGCCCCCATTGAGAATCACTGGTGTAAACTCTTCAGCCGCATCCACCAGCTACTTAAGTCACAAAACACGTGGAACAAAGGACTGCCAGGGAACTACTATTTACCTGAGATGTTTTTTGTTGAACAGCAAGAATTAATGCAGTCTTCCTGAGTTAATGTATGTATGGGCTCATTGCCTCTGATTCCCTTAGAAAGAGATGACTGGATGTCAATGATAACATCTTCTAGACTCTTGGTGAGGCACTTCTGACTGGCAGACAGCCTTAGTGTCAGGAAACAAATTATCACCAAAGTATAAGTCAAGCTCCCGTCCCCTCTGAAGAACATTTTAAATTTCAGTTTAGTCTTGGTCTTCAAAGGTCAAGGATGATCCTCCCTCTGGTCTTGGTCTGCATGGAGAAGACTGCACAGATGATGGAATTTCTCCCTAGAACAAAAGTAGAGCATCATCAATGAGTTTGTTTCTTTTAACAAACCAGGGAAGAAACATTTCATTTCCATCCAGTCAATGAAAAGGATCCATGTACAATTTAGATGACAGAAATAAACAAGCATTTTTTATTTATTTCATTTTTAGTAGATTTGAGACAACCTTACATTAGAAACTTGGCAAAGAATTAATAAGTACAAACAAGTATACTATGTCATCAGTGCTTAAAAGCTGACAGTGCCTATGAAGGAAGAGGTATGAACAGTAAGCCTGCCTCTCAGTTCCAGAATCCTTCCTCTTCTTGACTCTTCTAACCAGGAGGGGAGAGCATACAAATTTCTAGTCATTGATGAAGCAGTGGTAATGGGTTTGAACATATTTCCTTTCTCAGTAATAACAATTAGCATTTTAAATAAGCTACTGGATGGTAGCATTATGCTAAGTAATTTACATATATTACCCTCATTAATCCTTATGCCAACCCTGCAAAAAAGCTATTATTTCCTCATTTTATAATGAGGAAACTGAGGCAGCCTTTCTTGTTTCTGCTTCTCCTTAAATATCAAACCAGAGGCAGGTAACTATAATAATCTAATTTTAGGAATTAGTCAGCAGGGGGAATATTCCCGGTCGAGGGAAAGTTTAGGGGCAGTTGTTCTTTTTGATGTCCCTAAAAACACAAAAGTCACACTACGTATAATGCCATCTCCACGGTACGCTGGTTCTTTCAGGAAAAATAAATCTTAAACTGGCAAAGCAATACCAGAAACTGTCCTCACCCACCTACCTCCACATTTCCAGAATACAAATTGTTCACTGAATAATAGCTTAAAGTAGAATTACTGCTTCTTTAATCTTTCTGTTATGAACCCCTTTGGTAGCCTGAGGAGGTTCAGGATCTCTTCTGAGAGATCTGTTTAAAATGCATATGGTGAAATATATAGGCATTCAAAGGAAGCTAGTTATATTGAAATATAATCATCAAAATAGTTTTTAAAATGTGCCTACAAAACTCTGATGAAAGAAATCAAAGACGATCTAAATAAAGGGAGAGCTATTCCATGTTCATGGACAGGAAGACTCAATATTTTTAAGATATCAGTTCTTCCTAACTTGATCTATAGATTCAATACAGTCCCAATCAAAATCTCAGCAAGTTATTTGTGGATATCAACAAATTGAGTTTAAAGTTTATGGGGAAATGCAAAAAGACCTAGAATAATCAATATAATAATGAAGAAGAACAAAGTTGGAGGACTGACACTACCTGACTTCAATATTCACTATAAAGCTACAGTAATAAAAAAAGTGAGGTACTGGCAAAACAGACAAATAAATCAATGGAATGGAATAGTAAGCCCAGAAATAGACCCACACAAATAGAGCCAACTGATCTTTGACAAAGGAGTAAAGGAAATTCAACGGAGAAAGGACAATTTTTTCAAAAATGGTGCTAGAGAAACTGAACATCCATATGCAAAAAGATTAAATCTAGACACAGACCTTATACCTTTCACAAATATGAACTCAAAATGGATCACAGATCTAAATGTAAGATAACTATAGTTTGAAGTTAGACAAATTATAAAATTCCTAGACGATAACAGGAGAAAATCTTTGTGATCTTAGATTAGGTGATGAGTTTTAAAATATTAATATAACACCAAAAGCACAATGTATGAAAGAAAAAATTGATGTTGGACTTCTTTAAAATTAAAAACTTCTAGCCAGGCACAGTGGCTCATTTCTGTAATTCTAGCACTCTGGGAGGCCGAGGCAGGAGGATCACTTGAGGTCAGGAGTTTGAGACCAGCCTGAACAAGAGCAAGACCCTGTCTCTTCTAAAAATAGAAAAAAAATTAGCTGGGCATGGTGGCATGCATTTATAGTCCCAGCTACTGGGGAGGCTGAGGCATGAGTGTTGCTTGAGGCCAGAAGTTTGAGACCAGACTGAACAACATAGCCAGACCCCATCTCTACAAAAAATAGAAAAATTAGCTGGGCATGGTGGCACATACCCATAGTCCCAGTTACTCGGGAGGCTGAGGCAGGAGGACTGCTTAAGCCCAGGAGCATGAGGTTGCAGTAAACTATAATGATACCACTGCACTTTAGCCTGGGCAACAGAGCAAGACCTTGTCTCAGAAACAAACAAAACAAGACTTCTGCTCTACAAAAGACACTGTTAAGAGAATAAAAAGCCAGACTTAGAGAAAATATTTGTAAAACAAAATCTGACAAAACGCTGCTATCCGAAACATACAAACTCTTAAAACTCAACAATAACAAAAAAACCTCAAAAAGTGGGCAAAAGATCTGAACAGACACCTCACCAAAGAAGATATACAGATGACAAAAAGCATGTGAAAAGGTGCTCAACATCACATCTTTAAGGAATTGCAAACTCAAACAATGATATATCACTACACACTTATTAGAATGACTATAATCCAAAAACTGACAGTACCAAATGCTGGCAAGGATATGGAGCAACAGGAACTCTCACTCATTGCTGGTGGGAATGCAAAATGTTATAGCCACTTGGGAAGAAGTTTGGCAGTTTCTTACAAAGCTAAATATAGTCTTACCATTCAATTCAGCAATTGTCCTCCTATGTATTTACCCAAATAAGTTGAAAACTTATGTCCACACAAAAATCTGCACAATGTTGATAGTAGCTTTATTCATAATTACCAAAAATGAAAAGCAACCAAGATGTCCTTCAATAGGTGAATAAACAAAATGAGATATATCCATACAATGGACTATTACTCAGCAATAAAAAGAAATGAACTATAAAGCCATGAAAAAAGCATGAAAGAATCCTAATTGCATGTTTCTAAGTGAAAGAAGCCAGTCTGAACATGTATGATTACAATTATATGACATTCTGGAAAAGCCAAACCACAGAGGCAGTGAAAAGATTAGTGGTTATCAGCAGATCAAGGGAGAAGCATGAATAGGTGGAGCACAGGCGATTTTCAGGGCAGTAAAACTATTCTGTATCTGTATAATACTGCGGTGGTAGATACGTGTTATTGTACATTTGTCAAAACCCATAGAACTGTAAAACACACAGACTGAACCCTATGCAAACTATGGACTTTAGTTAGTAAAAAAACAACGAAACAAAAAAAGTAAAAAGCAAAACAAAACCAGTGTATGGTAATGGAACACCAGTCTAATACCTGCCTTATTTTAACTGTTATGTCCAACTTCTGTATACAGTAAAGTAAAATAGCAAGTAACATTTACTGTTTCTCACATGCCAGTTGCTATACTAAGCACTTTACATCTATTATGTCATTTAATCCTGTCAAGGATCCTAATGAGATAGGTCTCACTATTAGCCCCATTTTCAGTTAAAAAAAATTTTTTTTGCTACTTCCTTCCTCCATGCTCATTTTTAGTTAAGATTTTTAAAAAGTCGTGTGATATAATATTTGCTTCTTCTTTTTTTTTTTTTGAGACAGAGTCTCGCTCTGTTGCCCGGGCTAGAGTAGAGTGCCGTGGCGTCATCCTAGCTCACAGCAACCTCAAACTCCTGGGCTCAAGCAATCCTTCTGCCTCAGCCTCCCGAGTAACTGGGACTACAGGCATGCGCCACCATGCCCGGCTAATTTTTTTCTATATATATTTTTTCTATATATATTTTTAGTTGTCCAGATCATTTCTTTCTATCTTTTAGTAGAGATGGGGTCTCACTCTTGCTCAGGCTGGTCTCGAACTCCTGACCTTGAGCGATCCACCCGCCTGGGCTTCCCAGAGTGCTAGGATTACAGGCATGAGCCATCGCGCCTGGCCAATATTTGCTTCTTTATTAACCTATTAATAAAGTGGTATGTCTAGTAACTGCCATAATTTTGAAGTAGCGGTGAGTATAAATAATATTTCAAGATATGTGCAACAAGTAACACGATTAAAATATCTGGGATTTCTACTGGTGGCAAATCACAGCTACTGCTATTAATAATATGACTATGGCTTTTGCCTACATTCCTCTCGAAGGAAATGCTAACATTTCCATTAGAGGTTAGTGAAATAAATTTTTCCACCCAAGTTCACAGACTTCCTAAATTCTATTCACAGACACTTCGGGTATCATGGACCTACAGGTTAAGAACCCTGGCACAAGTTACATATTATGCCACCACATTTCGCAAGCCTCTCTTCCAGTCCTAGGGACACAAAAGAGAAAAATCCAGGCCAATGCTTTACTTTGAATGGATTCTGATGTAGTCTCCTTTCAAGCTCTTGCAAAGAAACCTGAACAATGCCAGGGGAGGGGGCGGGAGCTGTGTTTTCAGCATGCAGCATCTTGACAGCCCTGGACTGCAGAAGTACTGAAGAGTTGATCTCATTAAAGATAGTCAACAATTAATCAGGTTAATGAAATCTTCTAGTCCATTATTATTCAAGCCTTAAGGGTCCAAAGTCAAGTTGAATCCTGTTGAAAGACGGAGGGAAAAGGATACAGGTGTGAGGGAGAGGACGCACCTGAGCTTTATTGCCTGCTTATTAAGAGTCAGTAAAACTTACTAGTACATAACTATTTCAAATATTGGAAATCATTTTACTCGCAGCATACTATAACTTATCGAGATGCTTATAACTGTACATACACACACCCTACAGGGTACGAGACAATTAGCAGGTTCAATAATCAATATAGGAGACAAACCATACAAGAAAAAAATGGAAGATTTTCCCTTCCTTTGAGGAAACATATGTTGCTCACTGAATTATTCTTCTGTCTCTCCTTCTGGGTGCGGAGGCAGTGCCATTTATGGCAGGTGCTCTGAGCCTGCCTGAGGTCCCCTTTGGAATACTGCAGCGACACAAAGATCCTGGCCAGCCCTTATTCGCCCCAGCCTGGTCCTCAGGGTCCTCTGGCATGGGTGGCGGAGCCTCGGCCCCTGGAAAGGAGGGGAGGTGCTCTCTCTGCAGGTGGGGACGCCGCCTGCGGCCGGCCTGGGGGGAGGGCGGAGACGCCTTT